CAGCAGCAGCAGCAGCAGCACCATCACCACCACCACCACCACCACCATCAATATTATCATCATCATCATCATCATCAACACCATCATCATCACCATCATCATACGACGGTGAAAGTCGCAATCCGTATAAGTCTAAAAATAATATCATCGTTTTTTTGCTATATTTATCATCATAGAGCCACAAAGCATGTTCTGTTTTGATGTAGGGACAAATTAACCAATAGAAAAGTATGTAATTGTCAGATGAGCAATGCGCGTATCCCTACTGAATCTCAATATTGACAGAGTATACCGTGTAAGTCTGTTAAACAATACTCAGCCGTCCGTGCTGGACAAAACGTAACTCCAAAATCCACAACTTCAGTGTCTTTTAACCTTCACACCCGTTTGTTTTTGTAAAGTGTTTTATGGCGCTCGCAACTGCATAAGGTCGTATGAGCGCGCGGGACGCACCTAATATTTTCAGTTGGCAGGAAATTTTGAATTTTGCACGGGTGGCGGCCGAAGACTACTCTTATCGATTTTAGACCACCAAGGGATCTTTAACGTGCGCAACTTGCACACGGGCCCTCCGGAATTTTTCGCCCTTGTCCGAGAAGGCTAGGTGTAGATCTTTCCTACCAGAAGATCAGGGTTGTGGCAGAAAGACAGCAAAGGAGGATCCAAGGAGTAGCGGTATAAAGGCTGCAGAAAGAGTCATGAGCCCAGAGGAGGGGGCAAAGGAGGTGAGGGGGTTGGGGCAGAAAATGGAAATGAAAGCAGACAATAAAACATTGCAAAAGAGCAGGAAAGGAGGTGAAAGGAGACAATTTTAGAGAAGAAAATCTTTCGGTCGCTACCCGGATTCGAACCCGGGACCTTTGAATGAGAGGCCAACACCTTAACCTCTTGGCCACGAGAGCCCCCTTTTCACACTCGTGTTGTCATGAGTTATGACTGGAAGGAGTCTGAAGGAGTAACATGGTCCGTCTTGCTGGCTAGCTTTCCTTTATACAGAAGAGTTTTTAAAAATTCATAAATTATTTTGAGATGGCTGCATTTACAAAACTAGACAGGAAGTCATGGCAACCGTTTTGGGACACTTTAGTATGATGCACGACAAAATGATCGAATAAAATTATTTACAAAAGGTTTATTCGAGCATTGCAATATCGTCCTTGTGAAACCATCCTTTATAAACTGGAGCCCGCAGACGACTGTACAGTACACCTTTGCCTTTACGACTGTACAGTACACCTTTGCCTTTACGACTGTACAGTACACCTTTGCCTTTTCCAAGACGTGGCAAAATCCAACAAAGAAAGAGAATCTGTGATGAAACCGAAAATCCCAAACAAATAAATGCAGCCCGTCTAAAGATCAAAAAGACAAAAATACGACCATCTACAGTCCACGAAGCATGCTGTTCTGTTTGATTTGCATGCATTTTAAGATGCTTTATCGTATTGAAAGTCTAGCATTTATAAGTGGATACTAATTTTATCTTTTTATTTGTGAAGCGCTAAATATTCCAACTTTTGTTCAAAAAACGTTTTTTTAGATTCTGATCATTTAGTAAGCGGGATTACAACCCTGCAGTCAGGGCCAACCTGGGCTGAGAGGGATACAACATTCCAACGTAAATACCGAAATTCTCGATAAAGATTTCGGAACTCACTTGATGTAATTCGTACATGCCATGCCTCTACTCACCTTGGGGCCTCATGCGTAAAAGATGCCTTTAACTTACTTTTTTAGGGTGGGGGGGGGTGTACGAAATCTATGCGTACGTAGTCTAAACAGCCATATGCACTGCTCACAGCCGAACGCTCCGTATCCCGGACTCTAGCATGGAGATCATCAGGAGAGAATGCGTCGCGCGCTGTTTCGGGCTCATCCTCTCAACAGCTTTTCTGACGCACCGAACCCCATCATCGATGTGAGGTCTCCATGTTAGTTCGACTATTTTCCTCTGCTCCAACTTTTAGGATTCATTCCAGCCTGCGTCCTCTCGCTTCAACCAGATCAAGTGACTGTCTTTCTCTGCTGTCTCCTAAAGGGAGTTTGTGAGTTCGTTGCTTTTCTTTGCAGTAAGTCCTGCCACTCTCATCCACTTACGGGCGTTTGTTGCTAGGAAACCTCTGCATCCTACCTCTACCGGAAAATGGGTTGCTTTCCATCCTGCCTCCTCACATTGTTCGACGAGTGCCTCGTAACGGTTTTCTTTCCGCTCATGTGCGGCATAGATATTGTCCTCGTGGGGCACCGTGAGCTCTACCAAGTGCACCTCTTTGTCTTTTTCCCCCCATAACACCATGTCTGGCTTTTTCGTAGTTGGAATGGGGAAGAATCCCCCAAAGCCCTTTAAGTCAGCGGCTACCCCCCATGTGCCTCGGCTGTGGTCTTCCATGGCTTCGTTCGCTTTCTTTCTGTTGGTAACCTTGCTTCCTTGCGGAACAAACGCAGTCTTGGTGAGTCCGTGCTTCTGTAGCTTGGGGACGTATTTTCCTTCTTCCACCTGTTTTGTCGCCATTGTGGTGAGCACTTTCAGCACCTCATTGTGCCTCCAGGTGTATCTGTTAAGAGCCATGTTGCAGTTTGACAAAATATGCTTCATGGCTCCTAGCCTATCGTACACTTGTTGTTCTCCTGTACCTTCCATCTGACAAGGTTCACCGGTGAAGGCAGAACATCATACGTAGACCGGAGAAGAAAGCTTAGCCTAGATGTGTTCCACTTCCAGATGTCAACCCAACCGACTTTTCTTTCGACTATATGCTCTTCCCATCTGATCATTTGTCTTGCTGGCTACACTGGATGAGATGAATTTCTCGCCTCTCTGCCTCCATCCTCTGTCACCTGAGGAGAGTGACTAGACACAAAACCAACATAACGTAGATCCATCCTCTCCCAGAAAAGAAAATTATTTCTTACACTTTTACATTGGTTATTGACAAAATCCTGGAACATAGTTGAAATTATTCATTTAATAAACATTTATACATTAACATAGGCGCAACTCGTGTACGTCTCAATTTTGCACGAGAGAAAGACGTAGTTAAACCATGTATCTCCCTAACAGTGTATGTTGCTGTCAATCCTGAGAAGCAATACGTGTAAGTCTGATTTTATAAAATCTTAACAAAATTTTGCCTTTAAAAGTACATAATTATTTAAAGGCAACATCTTTTTATTGTCAAAATCAAAAATACAATAACACGTTGGTATAAATAGCATTTATACAGGGTTTTTTGTGTTTATCTCAACTGTAGAGTTTCGGGACTTAAACGGTTTGCGACTTTCACCGTCGTGTCATCATCATCATCTGCAAGATGTCGGAGAATGTCACAGATAATCTGAGATAACACCTTTTTTGTTTCATTCCATTGTGTTGTTTCTTTTTGTCTGACTATCTTTTCCTTGCATTAAATAATCGTTATTGTGTTTTGAAGTTTTTCTTATTTTTACTATTCACGACCACCAGATTTTTGCGATAGGAAAATATGATCCGCTTGACCAGGATTAAAACAACAACAACAACAACAACAGAAAACAAAATAAACTGACCAAAATTAATAAAACAGAAAAAAACTCTACTGTGGTTTGTGTGTGTGTGCGTGTGTGTGTGTGTGTGTGTGCGTGTGTGTGTGTGCGTGTGTGCGTGTGTGTGTGCGTGTGTGTGTATTTGTGTGTGTGTGTGAGTGTGTGTGTGTGTGCGTGTGTGCGTATGTGTGTGCGTGTGTGTGTATTTGTGCGTGAGTGTGTGTGTGTGTGCGTGTGT